AAACAAAAAGATAAAAAGAAAATATTTCCAAAGTATTTATCACTCATAGACAATGCAATTAATCACATACCCCATACTATATAATTATTTAATATAAATTCAAGTGAACTAATGTAAAACAGATGGAGACATTCAAATGGAAGATTAAATATATAAAGTAATATAAGCAGATCTAATGTCTAATGGACCATTGGGCAAAGACCCAGCATTCTGGAGAAGGCTCTAATACTAGGAAAGGTGGAAGGAGAAGAAAAGGACAACCAGCAGGAAGGTGGATGAACTCAGTGGTGATGGGTATATTGTTGAAAGATCAGGTTAAGGAGAGATTGTCATAGAGAAGACCTATCTATGTGGTTGCAAGGAGTAAAACATGACTTCATGGCACATAATCAATAAAAAAAGATCTAAGGGATCTCCTGCCAAGATGATTGTTTAAATGTAGAAAAAAATCTTCAGACAAATGTAAATTCGACAGTATGATATTATTCCATCCTTGTCATAGCACTCTTTTTGTGATCATAGTACAATGTCAATTTCCTGACAGAGGAGGTTTACAGATTGCGGCATGGCAGGGCTTTGTGTTCTCAGGTTGTAATGCAGACAATATTTAGTTTGAAACTAGGTTTACACATTAAGACTTGGTTGCAAATTACAATAACTGGATTCAAAAAAATAATTGAATAGAGCACATAGGCTAACCTGTGAACTGAGAAGGCAAGCACAACAATTTCTTGGTTTTAAAAAAATCAGGCACGCTGGCTGAGGAATTCTGGGAGTTGAAGTCCACAAGTCATAAAAGGGCCAAGTTTGAAGACCCCTGCTATAATGTGTTCATTTGTGACAGGAAGAGCAACACAGAAAAGATAGAATCAGGCTCTTTTACTTGGATTTGCACTCTCTTCAGAGAGCACCATCTCTGATTTTTAAACACAGATCTAGTGCCCCTTTAAAAAAAAATAGCAGGAATCTATGCATATAGAGAGCCATCAGTGCTTCCCAAAACACTAGTCAGGCATTAAGCAAGGAGCCACTTAGCAGAAGTCAGATATCTAGCTGTCTTGTTAGAGTGCAAGCTAAAATGGCCATGGTAGAAAATGTCCACCTACTGGAGAGGAACAGACATGTCTTCATGTCTTCAACAGCCTGGAGAAGCCAAAATGACCCCCTGAGTCATCACCACTATCAATTAAATTTCATAGAATGTATGGCAAGATTTGTGTTGGAGGAAGGGGGAAAACATTATTGTAAAATCAGAGCAGCTTTCACAATGGATTGGGAATGAAACAAAGGCAACAACATTTACACATTGTATTTGAACTTGTTTGGCAATTAGCAAGTCATGAGGACAAGCATTGAATTGTCTTTCTCTTCCTAATATATTACTCACACACCTTTAATTATTAGCTCCTGTAATTGGAGCTATTAAAATCTTAGGAATTTTAACACAAATAGAGGCGATTGTCCTAGAAAAGAGCACCAGGCAACCATTAGAAAATATCTATATCTCATCATCTTATCTCATCTCATTTATCTCATACAAATGCTTTTAATTCACACCTTGTGTCGGGATGTTTGCAATTTAAGTGGACAGAACAGGTAGTCTCTGTCTTCTTGCTTATGCTGTCTGCCACCTACCTTCCTTTCTTGTTCTGGAAGCAAGCCTCCAGGTGTGCCACTCAGCTGGACAGCAGGTACACAAAGGAAGAAGAGACACATCTTCCTTTTATTCCAACCAGTCTAGCATAGGGCAGAAATTCTGAGATCTCACTAAAAGATTATGCATCTCAAATCTCAGTAACTGTAGTTTGAAAGATGATTCCATGACAGCTTCAGCTTCATGTATTAGCTCTTGTGAGAAGTTTTATATACAAATATATTTTATTCTTTATATTGTTTCCATCTTCCCTTAAAACATTAACAGAATCCATAATGGTTTGAGAAACAGTGTCTCCACTAGTTAATTGATGGTCAAGCTGAAACTAAATTAATCAAGTAAAGAAAGCAAATGGGGGGAAATCTTTTACCCAAACTTCCTCAAACTTCCAAATAAGTTATCCAGACCTAATCCACATATCAAAGAATAAGGTCTGCAAACACAAATAGAGTTAATTAAATTAAGTCTTCTGGCATGTTCACAAGAATACATGCACACACAGACACAGACACTGACACACAGACACACACAGAGACACACACAGACACACACCTCACCATAGAATCAACACATAGCCACTTCCACACCCCGGACAAGCTGCCTCTATGAACATCTGTTGTTGTACCCCATTTCTCTGCAGCTGCCCCTAAAAGCAAACTATTTGCTTTTCAGAATAAATATTTCTTCTTTCCTCATAGCTGTCTGGATCCCATTTTTATTTATTCTTGTGCAATCCCAGCTTGATTTGGAATCCTAAATTATTCTTCTGACACTCTGTATCTTCATCCCCATTTACCTTGCAGTCCTAATTCTTATTTAAAATAGGTGCTATTATGTTCAGTGATGCTTATTCCTAGGAAAATATGGGTGACATTCACTGTTATCTTTGAAAGTTTACATCCTAAAGCTAAATTATTGAATTGCAACTTCCATCATGCTGACCCCCAATAATCAGCAACCAGCAATGGCTCTGCCAGGAAACCTGTGAAGGGTGATGATCTATGGAGAAGACTCATTCTATCAGTCCATATCTTAATAACAAGTCCTCCAAATGCCAATTCTGGGTGGCGATTTGTTAGGGGTCAATAGCAACAGCAATAACATTTAGACTTATATACCAATTCATAGTGCTTTATAGCCTTCTCTAAGCTGTTTACAGAGTCGGCATATTGCCCCCAACAATCTGGGTTCCCATTTTACCAAACCTTGAAAGGATGGCAGACTGAGTCAGCCTTGAGCCAGTCAGGATCGGGCTGCTGGCAGTCGGCAGAATTAGCCTGCAATACTGCATTCTAACCATTGCACCACCATGGCTCAATAACTCATCCTAGAACAAAATGTCCCTAGGAAAGGTTTTTGTGACTGTGTGGCATGAACCCCTTCCACTGAACTGGCTGCTAAGAAATTGCTGCAGGGTGGCAGGGAATATAATTAACTGAAACTTCTGCCTGAGCACATGGAAGTCCAATCTCATTTCCAGTGTCCTAGGTCTGTTTCCTAGTTGCACAATAGACTTGTTATAAAAATAGGACAACCCCCTTTCTTCTCTTTTGTGGTTGTGGTTTATGCTTCCCCTGCTGTCTGAAGTATCATTTTGCTTAGTTTATTCATTGGCAGCACAGGAACAAAACAAACTTCATTTTCTCTGAGAAGGTTAAGAGTCGAGTGCTGTGTACCTTTTCTCCTGATACAGCAAAATAACAGAAGGAAAAACCATCTGGATGATGTGTGTTATAGACTGTTATGAATGCTAAGGCTGGATTCTGATCTGGCCTTACAATAGCCAAAAATGTTTTTTTGTTGCCTGTCTAAGCAAATTCTACAAAAAACACACACTCAAATATCACAGACCCCTATGATGCCCTCCCTGTAATATTTTTGAGTGCACCAGTATGGGTAACATTGAATGATTAATAGGACAAATTACATCATTAATCTTATGCCTAAGAAGGCAAATAGCAAAAGCATCTTTTTCTAATATAGAGATGTAGAATTGGAAGTCCCAGAAGAGCATTCAGTAGCCTCTAAAGCCCCTGGATGCACACCCAGAGACATCTGAAACTGGTCACCAAACCGTAATTTTGAGTATGAAAGAGGCAGGAAATTATTTAATACACAACTGTAGAAGAATTATATTACCTTTATATTTAATTAAATATAAAAATGAACTCTAACTAATATTTTCTGGAGCACAGCCACCAACATGAGTTGGGGCTGGGTTAC